TTTTTAGAACTTATTTTCCTGTTCTGTTCATTTTGCAGGACAATCCCATTTGCCTGGAATCTCATTACTTCTGGTTATGTTGAACAATCTATATATGGGGTATGCACATTCTGTTTTCTGAACACTATAAATTTATTAGCTGACTTGTAAATCTTGTTTTTAAGTAAATCTTGTTTTTAAGAGAAATTTTCAATTTTATAGGTAGTGATCATCACATTGGGTCTCCTGTTTATTGGAAAGCTGCTTGAACCAATATGGGGCTCCAGGGAATTCTTTAAATTCATCTTTGTGGTTAATCTTCTAACTTCAATATGTGTATTCATCACTGCCATTGCCTTATACTACATTACTAGGCTGGAGACTTACCTGTATGTATATGATACAATCCTAGATGATTTTTTTTTCTTCTGCCGTTCCTGATGTTTTTTTCTTACCTTTCTTTGCATTGTCTCTCCACTATATAATTAAAAGCTAAATAGAGGCCAATTTGAAGTGTGATTAATTGTGCTCTTTTGGCTTTGACATGTAGAAAACATTGTTTGTTCAGGACATCAGCTAAAATCAATACTGAATAATAAAATCTTAAACAGACATTCGATTTTCTTTTTCCACCGTGAACAAATTGTTTTAATCTTATTGTCCTCTTGGAATGTTCTAGTTACATGCCGCTCTCTGGATTTCATGGAGTTATATCTGGTTTCTTGGTTGGCATCAAGCAAATTATACCGGATCAAGAGCTTCCTTTCATCAAGATAAAAACAAAGGTTTGATACACTTGTGCTCTTGTTCTTTGTCAATTATGAGCAATAATAGGTTTATGAAAATGCCCTAAATTTGTTGCCTCTTACATCTCTTCAGTGGTTGCCATCTATCACTTTATTGCTTTACATTGCTATTAGCTTCTGGACACTAGAGGCTACAACATATCTTCCTACGATTATATCTGGCACATATATAAGCTGGATTTACCTTAGATACTGGCAGAGGAAACCAGAAGCAAAACTTAGAGGTGACCCAAGTGAGGATTTTGCTTTCTCCACATTTTTCCCCGAATTTTTAAGGTAATCTCGGCTTTTAGTCTGCAGAAAAAATCAGTGATTAATTATTGAACTGTCTTTCTAAAAATGAAGAAACTTTGGTTTATCTTTTATGCTTTTACTGTCTTGTAGACCAGTTATAGATCCTATTGCATCAATTTTTCACCGAATGCTCTGCGGAAGATCTAATACTTCTAATAATGGGCAAGTCTACAATCTGGAAAGTGAGCCTTTACCAGGTTCAGATTCAATCGAGGCTTCTAGGAGAAGGTGATTGTACATTGCTGTTGTTAATTTTGATTGGATCAGTAGTATATACGGTCAAGAAGAAATTGCTCCTGTGAACATGTCATAAGGAAAAATCAAATAAATAAATAATAGAGGTGCTATTGTCCAGTCCGTTTTTTCACATTTGGCTGCCTTTCTTATTTTTAATTATTTCTCCGAGACTAGATTTTTAATTTAATATTTTGATTAAACATCATAATACTATTCCAAATGACAAATTTTTATTTTTCTTTTCTGGGGACAGCGGAAGTGATTCTTTTTATTTCCTTGTCTTCATATTTTAGCATTATTTTCAGTTTTTAGCAGTCATACGAACTGTTGCAATCATTCTTCTGCATAAAATAATTTGACATGGCAACCGAAACTGTTGATTTTTGCAGAGAAAGAGGTGCTCGAGCACTGGAAGAACGATTGGCTGCTGAGAGGTTGGCTGCTGCACGACGTGAATTACAAAGAGAAGCTGAGGAAAATGTATAATTCAGCAACATCAGTTATTGATATTTCCAGAGGTCGTACAGTAATTAATTAGAGAATTTTTGTTTAGGTCAAGGAAGATTTAATGGGCATTTTTCCTTGGATAATCTTTACAAAACCAAAGGTTTCTCTTTTGTCAGATAAATATAATTTACTTTCTTGCTGTGCTTTCTTTTAGTTTTTTTATGTTATTTTCGTTCTTTTAGCTTTGAAAGTCTAAATTCAGGTATATAAATTAAAATGATATTTATAAGGAATAAAGTACAGGAGTTTCAAATATCAAGATTATAAAATAAAGTTTGTTCATTTTGTTTATTCTAATATATTATTGGTTATTGTTATATATATATATATATATATATATATATACTTTTGTTATCTTGANCTAACAAGAGATGAATATATTTATATACACTAAGACGTTCATGTAAAAGGCCTTTTGGAATGAGTACCAAAAGCAAATCCGTGAAGGCTTGACCAGAGCAGACAATATTTTTACCAGTGTTGAGAGCTATGTGTGTGTTAACCTCCCTACAATTAGTTAGTATCAAAGCGAAGGGTTCTAGGTCAGGGTGACTAGGCATCAGATGGGAGTAGTCCCTCCATGGTAAGGTGGAAGCCCGGCAGGCGGTCGGATCAGTCAGATGAATCATGGAGGTGGAGAGCAAGAGATGCTTAATGGTGTGACCATGAGTCATGAAAGAGAGCAAGAGATGCTCAATGCAGACCATGGTGTACTCGTGGATAAAAAAAGACTTCCGTTGTAGGGGGAGGTGGAAAACCATAGTCCTTTGTTTGAGGGGAGGATTGTTAGGATACAAACAAAGTCTCACATTGGATAAAACAAAGATGAACATGAGTTTATATACACATAAGATCCTCCATCGGTTAGATGCCTTTTGGAGTGATAGCAAAAGCAAATCCATGAGGGCTTGACCTAGAGCGGGCAATATCTTACCATTGTGAAGACCTATGTGTGTGTTGAACCTCCTTACAGGTTCATGGGTCTTTCACCTTTATATAGTGTTTTACTTTCTCATTTCTATCTAATATGGGACTTGGACTCACACTTGAATTCCCTACAATCTCCTCCTAAGGGTGAGTTCATTGGTACATTCCTTCCAGCGGAAGCATTCCCAACCACAAGTACCCTTTGTACTTGCCATTCATCTTAACGACACATGCTTAATTGGAACCCTTTCGCCAGGAAGACTTTCAATACAGGGACCATTGTACTCGTTTGAGCCGGTCACCAAGACGAACGATCGGTTCTTGATACCATTGTTGGATCTATCTAGGAGGAGGTTCACTGGGAAGATACAAACACCAATGAAATCTAAGTCCAACCACATAAGGGATTGATACCACTCTCTATCCAAAACCTTAAGATAACGAGTTAATGGGTCTTAACCTTTATATAGTGCTCTACTTCTCATTTTCTATCCAATATGGCACTTGGGGCACTCTACTTGGATTCCCAACAGTGTGTGGTAGTGTTTTCGAACCAGGTTTACTATTCCATTATATTTCTATAAATGGAACATGGAGAAAACAGGTGTATAAGCCCTTCAAAATATATTTTGTTTGTTTTTTCAACGTTGGTCATCTAAAGCAGGCTCACTGACTCCACCTTCTTCCATGGTCCTTCCGTCTATTCTCTAGCAAGTTTTTTCCACCATTCAGTGTCTATTGTCTGCCATAGTTGCTAGCCATCCGTTGTTTTTGTGGCAACCACAGGATGTGGAGAGTCTCTTTGAGCGTCAGCCAACCACGCCAGTGCCGAGACCTAATTCTCATCCACGCGACGCCACATGCTCAGCAAAGTTGCTACGATGAGGGTGTGAAGTCCACGCACCGCTTCCACTCGCTGGAACTTTGTCGTGGCCGTGGATGCCTTTTACAGGACTTTGCTGTCATCGGGTTGTGGCCTTCAAAGCTTCATCCAACGTGGTTTGATTTCATCCTTGTGGAAGTCCCCTAGGGCTTTCCGTTTCCCTCATTGGTTTAGCACCTTCTCGCTAGTTCCTTGCTTTTTTCGTCTTCTTAGTCAACAGTGGTCAATGGAAATGCTATTTCATTCTCTGGAAGCCCTTGCATTACCTCCAAGAAGCTAAATTGACAAAATTATCTATCGTGAGCTACATCTGTTGAACTATGGTTCCTTGGCTAAGGACATCATGACCACCTTGAGTAATATGGAAGCCATGTGCTTGCTAAAAAAGATGAATAGTGGAAACAAGCGAATTTCTATCTGTGTGCGTTCTTGTGGCAATCCGAGGAACCATGACTTCTGATTTGCCTTAGAGCTTTCAAAACATGTCACTCCTTTTTGAAGAAAGCTCAAAACATCTATGCCAATGATATCCAATGTCTCTATGATTCTACAAAACAAGCTTGCATATCTCAAAATGACTGATCATGATATGGTAGTTAAATCTTATTATTCTTTGGACCTAACCTTTATTGGCTAAATTTGAGTATTCTTTGTGTAGTCACTCCTAGCTAAACCTGAGTATTATTTGAAATGTAGTTGGTATTGGCTAAAATCACAAATATTGTTTGGACACAATTACTTTTGGCTAAACACGAGTATTCTTTATATACAACCACTCTTGTGGAAAACGCTTTGATTAAGAAGGTTGTGATCTCAATTATCATGAGTTTCGCTCACTAGAAGAGATAAACTTCCTAAGACACATGCATGATGATAAACACTATTTTTGGTTGCTCTCAAATGCAAATAGTGTCTTCCTCACAAATTCAAGGCTCTAAGGATTTCTTAAATTTACAAGAACTTTAACTTTCTAGCCGTGATTGTTGTTGTCATCCTTTCTTCGTCAAAGAGGAATTCTTTATAAATAGCTAAGAAGAAAAGAGTTGTTGGATATTCATTTGGAGCCATTTTGTGAGGTTAGCAAGCCTTTCATCTTCACTAACAATCCTTTGATCACATTCAAGCACGTAGATGCATTAAATGCTCGTCATGCATCATTAAATGCATGTGGCTTCTTTACTCAACTTCTTTGATACACAACATGACTTATTAGGCCTGGGTAAGTTGCTTCATTTTTCTTTAGTGTAATATGTAGGTCTTGACACCGCTTGCTGACTCCACAACACTGACATTCTACCTTTTTATTTAGAAATGTTACTTGTGTGAATTAGCTTTAAGTATGTTCTTCAAGAGATCTTGAGAATGACAACATGTTGCAAGATCTCATGAGAGAAACAAAGTGATGAACATTCCTTGCACGAAGAATAAGTATTTTTGAGTCTTCGATGTGTACCAGAAGTGCTCAAGGCCTATTAGAAAAAGTATGTTTGTTGTTTGTTCAAGGAAAATCTTATCAGATAAAGAATATAAGCAAACTACTTGCGTCTATTAGGTTAAACAAATAACACTTATGTCTGATGGGCCTGATGTCATAAATATGTTTCATACTTTGTTGTTTAAGTATAAAATTGAAACCAAGCAAATAGTTTGTTGAACTTCGATTTAACGTGCTCTTCAGCTATCCTTTATTAGAAGTTTTAATCCTCCCTATCCTCTGTGCTTGAACTCGGAAATTTCAATGGCCGCTTCAAGCAAGAATGAATAATGTAGAACCTAGCAATTATCAGTTAAACTGTAAACTCAGAGTGACTAGCATAGCATACTACTTATCATGATATCTAAGATCTTTAAACACAATGAATGAGTAACAATGATCAGATTTAAAACTACACAACAATCAAAACAAATACACACATTTAACAAGTTATAGTGCCAGAGAAATATCTATCTATTCTAAAATGAAGCCTATTTATGAATTTGTCAACACATGTAAATTAGAACTGACACTTACAAATAGACAGAGAAGAGTTTTCAAACATCTAATAAATGCATAGTAATATTCCCTTTTTTGCTATACAAAATGCAGATAGAAGGAAAGTTTTAAAACTTATAATATCTATGTGCTAACACTATTCTTAGTTTTTAGGAATGGGGTTGATTTTCAGACAAGACATCAAATTCAAGTTTTGTTAGATTATGTTAGTATATATAACTGAATCAATACAAATCTCATTTTGACGATCTGCTTGTTCATTTCTCCATACAAGTGTATTTATGTAGCTTACCTTTCCATTGATATTTCAAAATTCTTTTTAGAACTTATTTTCCTGTTCTGTTCATTTTGCAGGACAATCCCATTTGCCTGGAATCTCATTACTTCTGGTTATGTTGAACAATCTATATATGGGGTATGCACATTCTGTTTTCTGAACACTATAAATTTATTAGCTGACTTGTAAATCTTGTTTTTAAGTAAATCTTGTTTTTAAGAGAAATTTTCAATTTTATAGGTAGTGATCAACACATTGGGTCTCCTGTTTATTGGAAAGCTGCTTGAACCAATATGGGGCTCCAGGGAATTCTTTAAATTCATCTTTGTGGTTAATCTTCTAACTTCAATATGTGTATTCATCACTGCCATTGCCTTATACTACATTACGAGGCTGGAGACTTACCTGTATGTATATGATACAATCCTAGATGATTTTTTTTTCTTCTGCCGTTCCTGATGTTTTTTTCTTACCTTTCTTTGCATTGTCTCTCCACTATATAATTAAAAGCTAAATAGAGGCCAATTTGAAGTGTGATTAATTGTGCTCTTTTGGCTTTGACATGTAGAAAACATTGTTTGTTCAGGACATCAGCTAAAATCAATACTGAATAATAAAATCTTAAACAGACATTCGATTTTCTTTTTCCACCGTGAACAAATTGTTTTAATCTTATTGTCCTCTTGGAATGTTCTAGTTACATGCCGCTCTCTGGATTTCATGGAGTTATATCTGGTTTCTTGGTTGGCATCAAGCAAATTATACCGGATCAAGAGCTTCCTTTCATCAAGATAAAAACAAAGGTTTGATACACTTGTGCTCTTGTTCTTTGTCAATTATGAGCAATAATAGGTTTATGAAAATGCCCTAAATTTGTTGCCTCTTACATCTCTTCAGTGGTTGCCATCTATCACTTTATTGCTTTACATTGCTATTAGCTTCTGGACACTAGAGGCTACAACATATCTTCCTACGATTATATCTGGCACATATATAAGCTGGATTTACCTTAGATACTGGCAGAGGAAACCAGAAGCAAAACTTAGAGGTGACCCAAGTGAGGATTTTGCTTTCTCCACATTTTTCCCCGAATTTTTAAGGTAATCTCGGCTTTTAGTCTGCAGAAAAAATCAGTGATTAATTATTGAACTGTCTTTCTAAAAATGAAGAAACTTTGGTTTATCTATTATGCTTTTACTGTCTTGTAGACCAGTTATAGATCCTATTGCATCAATTTTTCACCGAATGCTCTGCGGAAGATCTAATACTTCTAATAATGGGCAAGACTACAATCTGGAAAGTGAGCCTTTACCAGGTTCAGATTCAATCGAGGCTTCTAGGAGAAGGTGATTGTACATTGCTGTTGTTAATTTTGATTGGATCAGTAGTATATACGGTCAAGAAGAAATTGCTCCTGTGAACATGTCATAAGGAAAAATCAAATAAATAAATAATAGAGGTGCTATTGTCCAGTCCGTTTTTGCACATTTGGCTGCCTTTCTTATTTTTAATTATTTCTCCGAGACTAGATTTTTAATTTAATATTTTGATTAAACATCATAATACTATTCCAAATGACAAATTTTTATTTTTCTTTTCTGGGGACAGCGGAAGTGATTCTTTTTATTTCCTTGTCTTCATATTTTAGCATTATTTTCAGTTTTTAGCAGTCATACGAACTGTTGCAATCATTCTTCTGCATAAAATAATTTGACATGGCAACCGAAACTGTTGATTTTTGCAGAGAAAGAGGTGCTCGAGCACTGGAAGAACGATTGGCTGCTGAGAGGTTGGCTGCTGCACGACGTGAATTACAAAGAGAAGCTGAGGAAAATGTATAATTCAGCAACATCAGTTATTGATATTTCCAGAGGTCGTACAGTAATTAATTAGAGAATTTTTGTTTAGGTCAAGGAAGATTTAATGGGCATTTTTCCTTGGATAATCTTTACAAAACCAAAGGTTTCTCTTTTGTCAGATAAATATAATTTACTTTCTTGCTGTGCTTTCTTTTAGTTTTTTTATGTTATTTTCGTTCTTTTAGCTTTGAAAGTCTAAATTCAGGTATATAAATTAAAATGATATTTATAAGGAATAAAGTACAGGAGTTTCAAATATCAAGATTATAAAATAAAGTTTGTTCATTTTGTTTATTCTAATATATTATTGGTTATTGTTATATATATATATATATATACTTTTGTTATCTTGATTTTTGTAATATAATTTTTTCTATTCTTGTGTTTATGGTTAGGGTTTTATCATTGATATGATAAAGAAAATATATTATTAGGTCACAATGCTAATGTCACAATATATTTTATGTATAAAACATATTAATACTAAATTATGTCAGTTAATTTTTCTATAAACTTGCTTATGATACAAAATCGTTAAATTATTTAAAAGAAAACTGAAATGATATATTCTTAAAAGTTAAATGTCTAAATTATTTAAAGTGTTTTTTTTAATAAATTACATAATATTTTTGAAATATCATAAAAATAATATATATTATTTTTTTAAAACTATTTAATAGGCAAATGATTCCTATAGTATATTCATTTTATTTTTTGATCCTTAATATTTAATTTTTACTATTTTCATTTACATTGTGAGTGTTGTCATTAAATGATAGTAGGTCACTATCATTATAGACAGAGTTAATAAACTCAAATTGCAATAGAATTAATCAACTAAAATCTGCACTTATAAGAATTTGAAGTAAAGTTAAAAACATAAAATTATAGTAAAAAGGATTGTAATAGACAATTTAAAGAAAACAATACATGAAAACACCTTACTTTTTTCATTTTTTTTCATATCTTCAATTATTATATGATTATCTTTCATTTAATTTATAAACAAACATTAACTTAATTATACAAACATCAATTAATTCGTTAAGAATTTTATCTCATTTCAAGTCTTTCAATTAGATTCTTTTCATATCTTACATGTTCGAAATGTCTATGTGAGATTATATTATTTGACCTTTTAAATTAAGTAAACAAGTATACATGTTTGAATTAATCAAACAAGTTTTAATGAACTCATTTGGTTTTCAATTCGTTCCAAGTGTCTACAAATTAAATTCTATTTACACTTTACTCTTTTGAAGCATCTATAAGTGAAATGCTATTTATATACTTAACATGTTCTAAGTCTCTACATGTAAAGTTTTACTCCTTTACCTAAACCAAAGATTAGTAGGATTAAACAAATTGATAAGAACTATAATTAAAGAATAACATTGAACTATCAGTAACCATTCCAAAATAATCCTAAGAGCAGACATCAAAATTAAAAAATAATGGATAAAATAGACTCTATTACGAAGAAATAAAAGAATGACTATTTAATCGTACATAACTTATAATTAACTACAAAATTACAATATAATCAACTTTGTTTCTCAAATACACAAAGTTGTGGGCTTTCATTTAGTCAATCAAAACCATGTATGTGTGCATGAAAATGCATTAATCAATTGTCTAGTGCATTTCATCTACCTACAACACTTATCATCTAACATGACTTAAAAAGTTGATTTTAATGAATAACTTTATTTGAAGCTTGATTTTATCCTATTTGGATGAATCCTNCACATTTAACAAGTTATAGTGCCAGAGAAATATCTATCTATTCTAAAATGAAGCCTATTTATGAATTTGTCAACACATGTAAATTAGAACTGACACTTACAAATAGACAGAGAAGAGTTTTCAAACATCTAATAAATGCATAGTAATATTCCCTTTTTTGCTATACAAAATGCAGATAGAAGGAAAGTTTTAAAACTTATAATATCTATGTGCTAACACTATTCTTAGTTTTTAGGAATGGGGTTGATTTTCAGACAAGACATCAAATTCAAGTTTTGTTAGATTATGTTAGTATATATAACTGAATCAATACAAATCTCATTTTGACGATCTGCTTGTTCATTTCTCCATACAAGTGTATTTATGTAGCTTACCTTTCCATTGATATTTCAAAATTCTTTTTAGAACTTATTTTCCTGTTCTGTTCATTTTGCAGGACAATCCCATTTGCCTGGAATCTCATTACTTCTGGTTATGTTGAACAATCTATATATGGGGTATGCACATTCTGTTTTCTGAACACTATAAATTTATTAGCTGACTTGTAAATCTTGTTTTTAAGTAAATCTTGTTTTTAAGAGAAATTTTCAATTTTATAGGTAGTGATCAACACATTGGGTCTCCTGTTTATTGGAAAGCTGCTTGAACCAATATGGGGCTCCAGGGAATTCTTTAAATTCATCTTTGTGGTTAATCTTCTAACTTCAATATGTGTATTCATCACTGCCATTGCCTTATACTACATTACGAGGCTGGAGACTTACCTGTATGTATATGATACAATCCTAGATGATTTTTTTTTCTTCTGCCGTTCCTGATGTTTTTTTCTTACCTTTCTTTGCATTGTCTCTCCACTATATAATTAAAAGCTAAATAGAGGCCAATTTGAAGTGTGATTAATTGTGCTCTTTTGGCTTTGACATGTAGAAAACATTGTTTGTTCAGGACATCAGCTAAAATCAATACTGAATAATAAAATCTTAAACAGACATTCGATTTTCTTTTTCCACCGTGAACAAATTGTTTTAATCTTATTGTCCTCTTGGAATGTTCTAGTTACATGCCGCTCTCTGGATTTCATGGAGTTATATCTGGTTTCTTGGTTGGCATCAAGCAAATTATACCGGATCAAGAGCTTCCTTTCATCAAGATAAAAACAAAGGTTTGATACACTTGTGCTCTTGTTCTTTGTCAATTATGAGCAATAATAGGTTTATGAAAATGCCCTAAATTTGTTGCCTCTTACATCTCTTCAGTGGTTGCCATCTATCACTTTATTGCTTTACATTGCTATTAGCTTCTGGACACTAGAGGCTACAACATATCTTCCTACGATTATATCTGGCACATATATAAGCTGGATTTACCTTAGATACTGGCAGAGGAAACCAGAAGCAAAACTTAGAGGTGACCCAAGTGAGGATTTTGCTTTCTCCACATTTTTCCCCGAATTTTTAAGGTAATCTCGGCTTTTAGTCTGCAGAAAAAATCAGTGATTAATTATTGAACTGTCTTTCTAAAAATGAAGAAACTTTGGTTTATCTATTATGCTTTTACTGTCTTGTAGACCAGTTATAGATCCTATTGCATCAATTTTTCACCGAATGCTCTGCGGAAGATCTAATACTTCTAATAATGGGCAAGACTACAATCTGGAAAGTGAGCCTTTACCAGGTTCAGATTCAATCGAGGCTTCTAGGAGAAGGTGATTGTACATTGCTGTTGTTAATTTTGATTGGATCAGTAGTATATACGGTCAAGAAGAAATTGCTCCTGTGAACATGTCATAAGGAAAAATCAAATAAATAAATAATAGAGGTGCTATTGTCCAGTCCGTTTTTGCACATTTGGCTGCCTTTCTTATTTTTAATTATTTCTCCGAGACTAGATTTTTAATTTAATATTTTGATTAAACATCATAATACTATTCCAAATGACAAATTTTTATTTTTCTTTTCTGGGGACAGCGGAAGTGATTCTTTTTATTTCCTTGTCTTCATATTTTAGCATTATTTTCAGTTTTTAGCAGTCATACGAACTGTTGCAATCATTCTTCTGCATAAAATAATTTGACATGGCAACCGAAACTGTTGATTTTTGCAGAGAAAGAGGTGCTCGAGCACTGGAAGAACGATTGGCTGCTGAGAGGTTGGCTGCTGCACGACGTGAATTACAAAGAGAAGCTGAGGAAAATGTATAATTCAGCAACATCAGTTATTGATATTTCCAGAGGTCGTACAGTAATTAATTAGAGAATTTTTGTTTAGGTCAAGGAAGATTTAATGGGCATTTTTCCTTGGATAATCTTTACAAAACCAAAGGTTTCTCTTTTGTCAGATAAATATAATTTACTTTCTTGCTGTGCTTTCTTTTAGTTTTTTTATGTTATTTTCGTTCTTTTAGCTTTGAAAGTCTAAATTCAGGTATATAAATTAAAATGATATTTATAAGGAATAAAGTACAGGAGTTTCAAATATCAAGATTATAAAATAAAGTTTGTTCATTTTGTTTATTCTAATATATTATTGGTTATTGTTATATATATATATATATATACTTTTGTTATCTTGATTTTTGTAATATAATTTTTTCTATTCTTGTGTTTATGGTTAGGGTTTTATCATTGATATGATAAAGAAAATATATTATTAGGTCACAATGCTAATGTCACAATATATTTTATGTATAAAACATATTAATACTAAATTATGTCAGTTAATTTTTCTATAAACTTGCTTATGATACAAAATCGTTAAATTATTTAAAAGAAAACTGAAATGATATATTCTTAAAAGTTAAATGTCTAAATTATTTAAAGTGTTTTTTTTTAATAAATTACATAATATTTTTGAAATATCATAAAAATAATATATATTATTTTTTTAAAACTATTTAATAGGCAAATGATTCCTATAGTATATTCATTTTATTTTTTGATCCTTAATATTTAATTTTTACTATTTTCATTTACATTGTGAGTGTTGTCATTAAATGATAGTAGGTCACTATCATTATAGACAGAGTTAATAAACTCAAATTGCAATAGAATTAATCAACTAAAATCTGCACTTATAAGAATTTGAAGTAAAGTTAAAAACATAAAATTATAGTAAAAAGGATTGTAATAGACAATTTAAAGAAAACAATACATGAAAACACCTTACTTTTTTCATTTTTTTTCATATCTTCAATTATTATATGATTATCTTTCATTTAATTTATAAACAAACATTAACTTAATTATACAAACATCAATTAATTCGTTAAGAATTTTATCTCATTTCAAGTCTTTCAATTAGATTCTTTTCATATCTTACATGTTCGAAATGTCTATGTGAGATTATATTATTTGACCTTTTAAATTAAGTAAACAAGTATACATGTTTGAATTAA